GTTTGGCCGGGCTGCGCTCCTGCCGCCGCCGCCTCCATCTTGCCTTCCCTCGCTCCCTCCCCCCACCCCGCAACAGGAGCCGAAGCCGCGGCGGAGGCACTGAGGCAAGAGGCAGCGGGGCCGAGCGGGCTGGGAGTCGCGGGCATGAGGGGGCGGCGCTGAGGAGACACGGGCTGAGCCGACATCTTGTCCCCCCTCCACCCTTGCCGACGGTGCAAGCCCGAGCACCCCGCGGAAAACCAGGGGCCCCGCGGAGGAGAACAAGGAGGCGGCCCAGGCAAGTAGAGTCAAGACCCCCCCTTTGCCGCCGCAGTCGTAACCTCCTTCCCCTTCCCTCCTTCACGGCCCCCCAGGATCGCGTGAAGGTGACCGGATTGGGCGGGAGCGGGGTAACAGAACTAGAAAGGCCTGGAGCCCTCCGAGATGTGGGGTGGGGATCCTTCCACAGCGCCTTATACCGAGTTTGAGGGAGAAGGGAGAGCAACTGAGAACGCGGGGGAAGAGGGAAACCGATCCCCGCCATCTTGTTTGCCCTCATAACCGGGACATCGTTAGCCACGCCCACCTTCCCCTTCATCATTGGTCTAGGCAGGGACACGTCGCTCCTGTTTGCAACCTGGGGAATGCGATTGATTCCTTTGAGGGATGATGGACAGCGCCGCTTTCCAATCCAAGCACGGCTACGGATGATTCCTTTACCTGCTATGCAATTAGTCGAGGGATTTCCCCCCCAGAGGGGCTTGGAGACGTTGATAAATTATATTCAGCCCTACTTTTTCCCCTCCCCCGGTCCCTTTACTTAGCCTTGTTACGCTGTGGAAGGAAGTGAGGCGGCTGGCGTTAGAGAGATCAAAATTGTTGCATTTTCTGTCACGTGACAAGAGCCTCAATTGTGACACAGTTAAGCCTGTTCCCCTGGGAAAGTATTTCCGTAGAGAGGCCTGGGGGATTTTTTGCTGGGAATCGATGCTTGACGCTGTGCAATGCATTTTTCGGCAAAGGTTCACGCGAGAACCCAAACTCTGCTCAATGCACGCAGGATTCTACCAAGACAGCTTTTTCTAGGTATATTACTGGAGTGTCTATAGCCAGTCGTTACTGGACAGCGTTATATACTTATGCTGCTGATGTCAGCTTATTAATAGAGAGTCACCACTGTGTTGAAGGAATTGAGAACGCCGTGGAGACGTTCATGGCTGCCCTTCCGTACTGAGGGTGTAGGGTTACATGAGTCTTGGAAAAGATATGCCGAGATGACTAAAAATTAAGCTTTCGTGCATTACCTTGAATGTAAATGGCCAGTAGATTGGGAGTAAGTAAATGTCAGTTTAGGCTTACTTTCAAGTCGTCTTTAGAATTATAGAAACTAAGGGTTGGGACGTACCTTAGAGATCATCTAGACCAGTATTTTTCAACCTCAGCCACTTTAAGATGTGTGGACTTCAACTCCCAGAATTCCCCAGCCAGCTAGACCACTGTTCAGACCAACCCTCTGCAGGATCCTCAACGAATGACCATCCAGCCTGTTAAATATGGCAACAGTATCATTTTTCTGAGACGTGAAACATAAAAGTGAGCCCTCCTCTTTGAAGTAGTTTGTTCATTTTGAAGCAAGAAAACCTTGCTACTGAATGTGCTTATCAGTGTTCAGTTGATTTCTTCTGGAATATAATGGATTTTTAAAACAAACAAACAGTGGAACACAGTGCATAAGCACGATTTTTTTCCTAAATCTATGCATGCAATGTTTTGTTTTTTAATTTTTGTCTGGTGTAGAAGATTTCTGCTGTAGAAGTACAGACTTAATGTCTAATTCATTGGCTGGATTGATACATCATTCTAAATCCAAAAATGTTTTTCTTTGTTTTGGCTTAATCTGTTGTGCAAACTCAGCTATTGTAGTGGGTAAGGCAGGCATGGCTATAGTCAACTGTGGATTAAACAAATCATAGCATATTGGGAAATGTGAATCCTGTTGTCAGTTATATATTTGACTGATTAGATCAAATAAATTCCCCACTTTTCCCCCCTTCTCTTGTTGTTCCCATATGTTACCAGGTCTCAATGCTTCAGTAACTTTGAAAACAAGGAATGGCAGGTTTTCTGTATCAGGATCTCTAAATTCTAAGCCTCTGTTTCCTCACTCACCTGCCCATTTCTTTCTTGCTAGTAAAATGAATTCAGCCTCAGTCCTGTTCTATGGCTGTGCTCACTTAACCAGTTAAGCCTTAACAAGGATGCACATGCTGCTGTCTTAACCCCCACGTCCAGCCTTTGTGCCTGAGTTAGAGGCTGAATATGCCATTTAAACCCACTGCTATTTTACATTTGCAGTATCTGAACTGAAAAGTATTTATTTCAAGTTCTGGTTTCCATAAATCCCAAGAGGTATTTTTTTCTAGGTTGTGGCAACATGTCAAGTCTTGCCAACTCTGATGAATGAGCTGTGCATCAAAGGGGAGGGGGAGCGTGAGATGTCAATGCTTGTTTTTTTTTTATTCTTAAGGTATTCATGTTGTGCAAACACAGCATATGTACAGTTTTGTCTTAGTCCTGACAGAGGATTTGTTGTTATTCCTGCAGCAAATGTGAGGCAGAATTTGGCACATCTATGATAACTCTACAGTTTCAAGGTATATAGAAAGTAGAATTAAAGCCTGTGTGAAAATACTATGTTCAAAGCAAACAGATGTACAAAAGAAAATTGAGTTTTAACAGTGTGGCCAGAGGCTTTAATGTTTGGTGGTGGCTAACAAGCGTAGAACATGATGACCTATTGAAGTTTAGCCCTGTGATCATTTGCCAGTGCTGCTAATATGTAAGATGTACAGTAGAGTGGGGAAACTGTGATCTTCCAAATGGTCAATTTTCAGTAGCACTATGGCCAATAGTGTGGATGCTGAGAATAGTAATTTAATAATATCTAGAGATTATAGGTTATGGTCCTGGTTTATGGTCCTGGCTATGGTCTGAGTAGGATGTACTGAATAGGGTGTACAACATTCTTTGCTATAATGTGACTACGGTATTAAAAAATGGTGACATAATGTCATAGGAGAGGTTGCCATAAAAAAAAACATTTAAAACTTTGTGTTTGTGAATCTTTATTTTTTAAAAATGCAAGTAAGTGTTGAGTTAGCATACAGAGGATAAATTGAATGTTAAAAAGCAAGTAGAAAATTGGGTGGTATCTATGTTCTATAGCCAGCTTGTCATATAGCAGTAGGAAAGAAGTCTTTGTAGTCAATTTCTTAAGCTTGGGATGTCTAACTTTTACATTCTTTGGGGTGGACCCATTCCCTTGGCAGTTACTCAAGGAACTAAAAGTATGTTTTGTCAACAACTGACTCCTTCATATGTATTTCAGCTTTATTGTAAGATGAGCATTGTTTTTATGCATTTGAGGGTGGCCATTTTTATAGAATCCCAAAGGAAATGTAACTGTGTGAAATACATCTGCCTCTCACAGTGTTTGAAAACTATTTCAATAGTCCTAGGTAAAAGTGGCATTAGCAAATATTATCATATCTTAATTGAAATGGCAGGGTAGCTAGGGGGCTGATAAAACTGCTTAAGAGCTTGCTTTTTACTTAGTAGATTTAAGTGAGATAAACAATATGGGGTGACAGAGAAGAAGTAGAAATATGTAAACCTCTATAACTCCATTAGACCTGTACTGCTTCATAAGAAAATGTTATATAGATTTTAGGCATGATATGAGAAGGAATAAAAACCCACTGAGCCCCCAAAGAAGCAAAACTACGTTGGCATCCTACCTTCTCTGAATCATTCACTCCACCGCAAGACCCTATATAAACCAGTCCATCTTTAATGTGGCTTATGAGCAGTCATATCCAAAGTGCAGAAGAATAAAAAATTAACCAGATTTCAGAATTCACCATAGGGATCAATCTAAAGCTGCATTCACACATAGTGCTAAGCCATGATTTTAACCATGTTTTATTGAGCAAGACATTATGGCATGACTCATACAAACAACACTAAACAAGAATGGGTGGGCTTGCATATCATGCAGTAAAGGATTTTGCACTATACGCATAGAATGCCAGAACAGATATGTCATTGAATTAATCAGTTTTCCAATCTAGCATCTTCTAGATTTCTTCCTGTTCAGCCAGAGGATTCAAGCTTGTGAAAATCTGAAATGCATGAGTACATTCAATGTTAGATATTAAATTAATTAATTAACAGCTATGGTGGGCTACCTGAGCACTCATGTATTATGGGGTTGTGGTACATGGAGAAGGGGAGTTTAAAACTTTTCCTCATGTTGTGGAATTGTTAAAAATCACATGTATACCAGCCCAAAATTTCTATTGTAACCTGTGTAAACTATTCCCAGGGCTAATGGTAACTTTGGAAAGTATTCTCTCCTATTTGCATGGCTGTATTTGGGGGCCCTACGATAGCTGTAATTCTAGAAATCAAAGTGTTTGTGTGTGTGACCAAATGAGTACACAAAAAGAAATTCTGGTGATGGGAACCATGGAGAAAGCCCCCCTTTCACAAAAATAGGCAGTTAAAAGAGGCAATTCAGGGGGCAGCTGTCATTGTTTTCATCATGAATTCCTCAGCTCGGGTCTACCGGAAGCAGTAAAACAGGCAGAATTTGCAGGCGATGCATTTTGAATTCCAAAATCTTGGCTCTAAGTGGGACTTACTTGTGAGGATGATCTTGGATACGAAGGACATTGCTGATGGAAAATACAGTGCTAAATTAAAATGATATACGGTACTTTAATTACAGTTATTCTGCTAACTGTAGAAAGTAGTGCATCAGCAGTACATAAGGGTGTAGTCTGAAATCATCTCTGAGCAGTTTTG